CAGGCTAGCCTGAAAGCACGAGAATGTCCGGGCTCACTCAAAGTAATCGCCATTGCGAAGGATGTACCCTTCATACACTGTCTTTCCGTTGACTCGTGTGATTCCAGCGGAAAGTGCATATCGCTAATTCTATATCAGCGTTGCAAGTTTGGACGGAAGGGTAGTGTCACTCACATAATATTCGACGGATCGATCTCTAAACTCTGTTGATAGAACCTCTAATATCTCCCGATCCATCCACCTCCCTTTGACATATGTTCTCAAAGCACTCCAATAAGGCTCTACCTTCCGCAGAGTGGGATTCTCATAGGAGCTTGGCTGGGGTATTTGCGTTGAGGACGACGTGGCGTTATCCATTGCAGTAGATCTGTTTTCAAAAGCAAAATCCTGGTTGATAGATTGGATTATATGACTATATACTTTACTCTTCGACGAGTAGTGGAATGCAGTGGCTAGTCGCACTCCAGTTCTTGGAATACCGATATGAAATGGCAAGCGGGACGAGTCGAACCGGTAGGAAGTCAGCCGGATTGGCCTAAAGAAGCCACAAATGGGAGTAATTTGGACCAGGATTATATGAGACTTTTGATATTGCTAAGCCAATGTTTCGTGCAGATGGTGGTCACGGGATGCACAAAATCGTGGACTCAGAACAAACTTTGTCTACTATCAAAGTTGCAATTACCACTGGCAGAATCAAAATGAGGAATGCACTGGTATCGTGTCAGTTCGTCTCAATGGAGCAATCGGACATCAGCTCCAACATAAAGTTCATGATCAGTAGCTCTGCGTGATCTCTGAATGAAATGGGGAAGGCTGAGATTGTATACGGTTCTAGTCGAATATGACTGAATTCTATGCATATTGCGTCTGAGAACTTCTTAAAATACAAATTCAAGATTCTCATTTCCTTTGTTCTTGTCTTCCAAGTTTTACCATGTGGCATCGTTTACTACTACTAACCCGTCTACAAGTCATTCATCTTTCTTGCATTCTCTTGTGTATGACATAAATTCTTCTTGACGATCCAGTAGCGGAGCTTCTTCTGATTTGAATACACAATCCATGCAATACGAAATAGTTGATTGCGGCACATTTACTGGGTCATGTATCTCGATCAATAAGCAATTGGCCGCTATGGTACAGTCATCATGGAAGCATTAAAAGAATCTCATATTTACCAATCCATCCTAGCTTCCAGTCTTATGAGGTGACTCCTGTCAGCGAGGACTTCGGCCACATACCATATATTCCAACCATTTCCCGGCAAACTCTATCGGAGACTTCTACTAGCAGTAAGTAGAACGAACATGTAGTTTAACTCCGAGTCTACTCAATTCTACACGCGGATTCTACGGGAACAAACTGGTCACAACCGCCAAAATGCAGATAACTCCCCCAAATGCTCCCAAACTTTGTAGGAATGCTAAAAGAATAAAAAGGCCTCCACCCGGGATTGAACCGAGGATCACCCGCATGATTGCGTAAGCAGATCATGTGATCTGCAACGCCCAAAGCGGGTATCTTACCACTAGACCATAGAGGCGGTTGGTAACAAAGAAGAAACACCATAGATAGGTAGGTAAAGCCAGCTTTCTTACCCATCTTGTCCCTCTCCATCTCTTTCTTAGCTTGAGTATTATATGCACTATGGTAGCTATTTAGAAGAAATGATAGAAGTTGATGGTTGACCAAAGGGAAGTGGATAGACGTTGTGATATTCGTAACAGACTGCCAGTTGACCGCAACCCCTTTCGAGCGCTTATAGTCGAACAAAAGATTACGCGTATTTAACGATATGAGTGCCACATATCATCAAGTAGCTCACAATTTCCAATGGGTAGCTTACTACCTGACTAACATATCCAGCGGAAACCATCGGAGCCAAATGACACTCGGGGCACAAAGAATCAATTACTCTCTTTTATGTATGAGCTCTGAGCCTCCGATGATCTGACTGTGTGATTGATATTGTTCACTCGTCTTGTCTCTTACTAGTATTCTCCGAAATATCCAGATTTTTTCAGCTCAGGTATCATAAAAGAGTCTTGAGCGCAGATAGACAATGTGATTACATAACTCGAGAGAAGATCATGAACTATCGCTGCTTTATGGTTTTAATCGGTCCAGAATTTGTATAACTCTATTGGCAAGAGCGTGATAATCACCGTCGCCGCTGACTACTCTTGATCTCCCGCGTTACCTCTATGGAAGTGAAACTTTGCTCTGATCCTACATATCCATCTCTGTCGTCGAAAATTGCTCATAAGCCTCTCGTGGCTCATTATCCAAGCAGCATAACTCTTAGGCTCTGGCATCCTGATGCTTTCAATGACTTGAACTAAGTTCTGTAAAACCTCGCTGTCTTGAACTTGGATATTAGGTGCCGCCTGTCTAGACGGAGAGAATTAGCATATTCAGCAAATTGGACGGCATGGATAGACATACTCCACTGATGCATCGTAAGCCTCGATGATCCTTCTCCTTGCAACATGAGCCTTTCTGTAAACAGAGTCCCAGTTGCAAGGGTATTTTTTTTCGCCTCTGATGTTACGGAATAGTGATATTAGTAACGACAGTCACTGTGAGAACAAGTCACTCACATAGTAGCTAGAATCTTGAGGATATCCTCTCTCGCATGGTCAAGCTCAGCGATACCAAGTGAAAGTCCTCCATCTGCCCCGCCTACAGACATAGCAAATGGAAGGCGGTGTAAGGTAACGAAGAGAACTAGCTGAGACATCGTAATGGACTTCATTGGAAAATTCGAGGGGCAGAGGGGGACTGATGCTGAAGTTTTTACGAGGATCGCGTTATATGTAAGCGAAGGCGTTGAATATGACGTTTTCAATACCCGAGCTTAGTTATGATAGGTTCACCGGCTCTTCTTGATTAGCCATCAGGGCTCGTAATGCATCGGGCGCGGTATAGAAAGCCTAAGATCTGTTGTTTGTTAGACTCTTCCGAATCGTAGCACGGCTTTGGCTTCCCCGTCAATAGTCGCCACAGATCATGTTATGCTACAGAAGTCATTGAGTAAGTGATGTGGGTGCACGTTCAAGTCGCTTCATGACGAACCCGGACTAAAATTCCAAAGAGACAATGCTTATAGCAGTGTAGTTAAGTGACGACAAAGTCCTGTAATCTTGTTTCAACTGAATGCTGAAACAAGAAACGTTCCGTTGATTTGAAGGTATCTCCTTCCTCCCATTTCTGTTTGAAGAAGCATGCTCCACCATCCAAAATCGTCAGCGCCTCAGCTAGAAAGCAAACTTTCATCGAAAGCCATTTGAACTTCAGTACAACAAGCTTGCTGTAAGGAGAGCTTTCAGGCGAACAAAGTTCGTAGAGATGCATCCAACGTCGCCGTGCTACCGTTGCATAATCAGTTTGAAATCTCCACTTCAGCATGACCCTGGCCACACCTGAACTGTCATCATCCACTTCATCCACCTCGAGGTAGCGCTGTTCAGCAGCCTGGATCTCCTTGGCGAATTGACCAATAAGTCTTCCGTTGTTGCAGGCCTCGAGATCAATCGTTTCATACTGGACTGTTGACCAGTGTGCAAGACATCCTTCGACTGTGGGTTCTAAATCGGCTAGAATCCAGTCGATGTCAGCATCCTCCTCCAGCCTCATGTGTTGTAGAGCATGAGGATACTTCACTGAATCGATTGGGTCGAGAAACTGTTGGAGGGTCTGAAGGAGAATAGGTGATTATATAGGCGGATCTGGGGATGGGGTGATGTATCTTGTGGTAATATTAGTAAGCTCAGTTTGCAGGTATGATGCCCACTGCCTTTCTCCTCTTTCCTCTGCTTGGCACGTTGTCGACCCTTCTCGAGTTCCTTTTCCCTGACGCTTGATTGCGGGCCATTAGAATTGAAGGATGAACGATATCGAGTACTTACCCTGGCTTTCCCCGATGTTTATCTCGAGCGGCTTTCTGTGCTGCCTTCTTCTCCTCAGCAGTAAGATTTTTTGGCGTCCCATAGCTTACGGAGACGTCTTGGAGAGGTCTTGAATAGAATCAGACACCAATAACAAGGGACTGTTACAGACTTCGGACCCTGACACACTAGGCGAACCGAAGGACATCAAGCCTCCAGCAAAGAAAACCCCACTTCTGAACAAACCAACTACAACTTGGATGCATAAGAATGACCAGCCTGCTCATATACTATCGTTATATACATTAGAATACACATTAAATATGGCCAGCGTCAGTAGAATGCTGCTTTTGCGGGTCATGATTGGTCGAAGGAGTCATTATGATAAAGACATCATGCTCAGTCCACGTAGACAGGCTCTCCCGTGTACCGAGCAAGAGGTTTATAGCCTATTCCAGCATCCATCCTCAGCTTAACAGTGCGATGGAATAGTGGATTAGGTGCATGGATAGTTCTTGGTCGTCCAAGGTTTAATCTGGGGAAAAGATCGTCAGTCACGTGTCACAGTAGAAAAAGGATGGTCACTCACTTCCATTTACGATGCCAAGTTCCGTTGTCATCTTGATGACTAACTCTGATGGGCACGATCTCTAGTAAATTCCACATTGGTTGACGATCTAGCTCATCGTTGATCTGACTCTCGGCATCAGCTATATCCCGCTGAATTTCAGATGTTGTGCTTTCACGGCTGCGTTGAAGCGAGAGAACATTGTCACCAGTCTTCAGGGTAGAGGAGCTATCGGACTCGGGTGCGAACTCGCGGAGCCGATCTGGGTTAATGCCAAGTCTTAAAAGACCTTGATCGTTAAACTTGATACCGGTGTTGTGCTTTACAACCTCCTGAATCATCCAGCGTAGGGAAGGCCCGGCAAGTGAATGTGTAGTCCCATTTATTGCGTTGCCACCCCCAACATCTAATTGAATTGCAATTTGATTAGTGCCATGAGTTTTCAACGTGGTTGAAATTCATTTAGACTCACCAGCGTGGCATCCGGCGAACCAAACCTCCTGAACATCGGTTTGAGGCCCTAAGACATCCAGTTCATCCGCGACCAATAATTCAATCGGACTACCGTTGATTGTTGCGGTATCCACTGTATCGCTTCGTCTACTCTTGAATGCAATAGTTTCATCCAGCATCAACTCGATGGAATTGGGCACTTGTGACTCGGGTATGAGGATGCTACTTCCTCTTTCTGGATTCTTGCGTGCTGCGCGCGCATCTGTCGTGGGCCGTTGCCAGACACTTGGCTTGAAACGTGCCCGCCTCTCATCCAAAGCCAATGCATGACGGAAGGTCTTGACTATACTGTTTGAAGATGCAAATGGAAGATGTCGAGGAATGAGGATGCCCACACTGGACACCGTATCCCAGACACCAACAAACTCAATCTTGACTTCGGCAGAAAATGTCCTTCTGAAGCCAAGACTGCGCGTGCGACCCGCGAGGGAAGAATCTCGGTAGCAGTTGTAGGCAAATGGTATTTGTTCTTTATTAGATTTCGGGAGTAATCCAACCTGCGAATTTGATAATTAGCACATGATGCACCTATGCACATAAAATTTGTTACCTTTTGCAACATGCCAGCCAGGCATCGTGCGGTATATGCTCCTCTAGAGAACCCAAAGAGACAAATTTTGTCTCCTTCCCTGTAGTTCTCCATCAAAAATGTGTAGCCACCCATGATCTACGCAAGGAAATGAATGAGACACTTTTGCCACCCAAACATCTGTTTAAACCTACGTGATTCTCAAGAAAACTCGCGGTAGCCATATCGATCACCTTGGCTGCACTACGGAACACCGGGGCCCATGTTGTCGTTGGGGAGACGTATGTACCTGGAGGATTGACGACGTTAGCTGAGATCATTCGCAAATTTTGGCATAGAGCATGCTTACCTAGGCCGCTTTGGTAATACACTAGCTGACTGTGTCGAGTATCCCGTTCCAACGCAGAAAAGAAATGAACAACGTTGGTGTTGGTATCGTCAAACATGTCTCCAGTTCCATCGAAGCACAGAACCAAGGTGCGAGGTTCATCAGTAGCCATTGAGGTAGGAGTCGACATAAGAAAAGAAGAAGAGGATTAAGAAAAATAAGGTATCGAAAGTAAAATAATAGAGTGTGGGGAATTGGCAAACTCGGGGATGAGGGTTGTTGCTAGTATGTAACGAGTATTTATGTAACCGGCTCAACAGGGGTTCACAGAAGATCGCCGTACTGATGGGTCAGGAGCAGTGTTTCTACGACAAATCCTTTAGTACCCCTGGCTGTGGTGCTTTGTTGCTGAGTCACCCAAAATTAACGCCTCGAAAGGATTTATGCATTGCAAGGAATCATCCGGAGTTGGAGCACAGCTTTTGAGTTGACAAAAATGTAACAACGCTCCAAATATCCGTTATCACCGTGGAGACAGTCAGCCAAGGTGGGCGTCAGAACCCACTGGATCTTGGAGTGTAGATAACTGCTGTGTATCACATGAACATGATTTTAGATTCTTGGTATCCAATCAGGGGTAATGATCGTCGGTCAACTGGTGCATAGTTTTCAAGCTTAGTCTCGTGGACCAGCTTCGTTAGTTAACTTTACTAAGGCA